AACAAGTGCCTGGCATTTTTTGGCTGGTGTGGTTTCTGCGTGGCCTAGGAATGATCTCCTACGGTTATTTCTGACTCACAGGACAGGAAACATTTCGGGGTTTAAGCCAAGCTGAATAATACGCTCATTTCCTTGTGCCGACTACAAAGCACCTGCTCCAGGGGATTTATGGAGTGCCGGCCTCTCGCAGGCACTGTGCGGCTGCCTGCCCGGATGTTTTTATTTTCCTCGTATGGCCAGCAAGTGCCAAGGCCTGTTTTCCTAAACACCCCGTGACCTCCTGGCACGTTTCTTTGAGGGGAGCCCAGGCAGAGCCACGGGCTGCAGCACACCCGTGCTGGGATACCCAGGGTGCTGGAGGGCCAGGGTGGGTGCCAGCACCCTGCCAGGGCTGAGGTCAGCAGGAATGCGTGGCCAACCCACTGACACCAAAACCTGGCCTGGTGCAGAGCAGCCACAGCTATGATAAATGACCTGGGAAAGTCCCAAGGGAATGGAACATGGGCATGAGAAATGAGCAAGGGAGGATGAGACCATGTGAGAGAGGGCAGGAGAGCACGAGAGCCGCAGTGAGCCCCAGCGTGGGACAGTCCAGGACATAGAGCCCAGACCATGACTGGGGACATGCAGACACCATCCCACAGCAGGTCCTGTCCCATGGCAGGGAACACACACCCCCTCCAGCCAGGGTTGCAGAGCCCCTGTGAAATGCTGTGCCTAGCCTCTAGGGTCAGAACACCTCTTCCTGCAAGGAGGGTTAGGGTGCTGAGGCCAGGGACATCCATGGAAGACACAAGGCATGCCAGCATGCCTTGCAGCCCATGCTTCTCCACCTGCATCCAGCTTCATCCACCAGGCAGACAGTCTGCAGAGTAAGGTGACAGCAATTTTTTCTCACATCTCCTCTATTTTGTCCCCTTTTTGGAGCAACAGTCCCATTGCTGGTGGGGCAGTACTCCAGCCTCTGTGAGCTGTCCCATCTGGCTTGCCAGCTGTGGGATGAAGGATGCTGTGAGCCAGTTGTCATTCCCTGTCTAGCCCTTTGTCTTCCCTTCCCAGCTCCTGGCTGCCTATCTCTTCCTCACCCCTCTGCTCACCCATCCCCAGGCTCTGGCAATGCCAGTGAGCAGTGAGCATTCAAGAATGGTCATCACTCAGAGCCAGCATCTACCTGCACCTGCCCTGGTGCCCTGGGTACTCTGGTGCTTGAAACATCCTCAAGGTGCTGGGCAAGGAAAGGTGCCCACATCCCCTGAAGATCTGCTTTAGGGTCCACAGCAGCACCAATGCAGTTTGGTCCAATGATAAACTGGGGATGTGGATTTTTTGTTTGTTTGGGGTTTTTTTGTTGGTTTTTTGGGTTTGTTTTGTTTTTTGGGTTTTGGTTTGGTTTTTTTTGGTTTTTTGGTTTTTTTTTTTGTTTTTTTTGGTTGTTTTTTTTTTTTTTTTTTTTCAGAGAGAAAATAAAATAGCTTTGGGGACCAGGAGCCAAGCTCCCCAGTGCCTAAAACAGCAATCACAGCACTTCCTTGGATTTATGGTGTTTGCTTTCACAATGCCAGCCGGGATCCTGTTTGCTTCCTGCTCTGCAGCTGCAGCTCCAGCTGAAGGCTCAGGAGATTCAGGTTTTATAACCCTCCTGGATTCTGCTGATGGCAACCGGTCCAGCATCAATTATTACCCCCTGAGCCTCCTGTGGTGATGGGGTGGGCTGTTGTCACCTCATCCCAGCACCACTGGCTTGGGTGCTCATCCTTCCCCATCCATGGGGTCCCATTCTTGGCACTGGGCATTCTGTCGCTCAGCAGAGGCATTGCTGGGAGAGGACGCCAGCAAAGCTGTGTCCCTAGTGGGGTGCAGCACCCAGCTTTTCTCAGACATAGCTACAATCTGAGACCCAGGCCAGGCAGGAGAGCTGGGTCCTGCTGGGAGGATGCTGAGACACGGATGTGACCTTCTGCGGGATCCTGGGATACTCAAAGGTGGTGACTGCTCCTCACTGGCCCACACGTAGACAGGCAGTGATCCCTTCTGTTGGGCTCTGCCTGGTAAATCAAAAGGACTGAACTTCTAGAGAGGCACTTCTTCCAGCCCCTTTATCTTCTCTGTGGTTCTTCCCTGGGTCTCAGCTGTTCCCCAAGATGTGAGACCAAAAGCAGCTGCTTTCTTTCAGTCTCTGCAGCAAAGCCTCCTCCAGGCTGGCACAGCAGGAGAAGGTGTCAGCTCCTCCTGCCACAGTACCCTCAAGAGCCCAGGCAGAAGCTCTGAAACACCAAGCCCAATTGCAATTATTGCTTTCCAAATTACGAGCTCCCTCCTGTACGACCTGGACCAAAATGCTCTGGATCATCCATGGGGTTGTGTGTGCTGGGGACAGGTGGGTGCCCAGGAATGCAGAAGTGGGGGAAAGAAAGTGGTCAGGAGGGGGAATAGCAGTATCAACAGGCTATGGGGGACCACCAGCCCCTTTCTTTATGCACAGACACAGTGTGGCTGGTGCTCTACTGCCCTGCTCCCTCTGCAGTGTGCCAAGATATGTCCTGACACTTCTCTATTTCTCTGCATTTTCCCAGAAAAGCACTTTGATAGAAAACCCAATGGCCATGAACGGACTCGTAGCTTTAACTCTCTATTTAATGAACTGTAATGGCTACAGAAATCCTGCAAATGCCTCTCCACGTCCCTGATGGAGCAGGGGCAATGCCCTTCCCCAAGGGATGCTGTTTCCCCTTTGAGCACTCTTCTGGAAGCCTGTCCAAATCCTGTGGGCCTCCGAGTGAAACCCACCACTTCTTTTTTGTAACATTTGCTGTTCTTGTTGATGAAACAATGATGGATTATTTCATTGCAGTTACTAGCGTGCCAGACTTCTTTTTCCAAACACACAATAGGAATATTAATTAACTGCTCTGACGACGAACACTTTTATCCTCCTTATATAGTAACAACTCTGCACCAAAGGGCAAGTTCCATTTGTCACTGATACACTCCACCATCCTGGCTCATGGCCCAGCGGTCAGCAGGGCATGCCCAGCATTTCTCTGATTTGTTATCAGCCTTTCCTAACAGATCCCACACTCACTGCCACCCAGCCACCCCACCGAGAGACACAGCATCACCCATGGCACTACAACAGGGCTGGGGCAATTCTCTAGGGGGAAGAAGGGATGCAAAGCTTCTCCCTCAGCAGTGAGAGCACAAGCTGCAGGAGATGGATGCAATGGGATTGTAAAGGGGCCCAGAGCACCAAAGGGAAGGGACTATGCCTTCAAATCCGAAGGTGGTGAATCCAAAGCGGATAAAGCGGATAAAAGAAAGCATTTTTCTTTCTCACTCTGTGCTTAATTAGACTGCCACAGGAAAATGCTTAGGCCAAAATCTAGCAAGATTCAATGAGGGATTGGGCACTTATAGGGATAAGAAAAATATCCAGCTATAATAGTGAATGCCAATACAAATTCTGGAAGGGATATTAAGCCTCACGCATCAAGGTGTAAATTTATCCCAAACTCTCAGGAACAGGGAGCTTAATGCAGGGGCAGATGACCCACATATGCCACTGCTGCTGATGCTGCCTCACTGCCAGCATGGCCCTGTGCTGGCTGAGCCCCTGGCTGGACCATCCCCAGAGCCCTGTTTCCTGCTGCTGGCAGCACCTCTGACAAGGGCTGCGAATTTCTTTTGGCAAGTCAGCCCTTTGCTGGTAGCTCTCCGGGGCCATGTGGCTCCCAGGGCTCTGACCTCCTCCCTCTTGCACTTCAGCTCACTTTGCCAGCTGATAACAGCCTTATCACTTCTACACAGAGGCATCCCCTCTGGGTGAGGGTCTCTGAGGTCCACAGGCACAACCCTGGGTGATGTGGCACGTTCCCACAGGTCCTTGCTTCCAGCCAAGTCCCTCATTTACCTCTCAGGTTACCTGATACCCAAAAGCACTTCTGCCTCCTAATTTTATCTCTCCTGTTTCCTGCTTCTGTTGGGGCCAGTCTGCAGCCCCTGGAAGAGGATGCTCAGCCCCAGCACGTTGTGGGTACTCCAGGTGCACAGGCACAGTCCCCTTTCATGGGCACTGCTCAGATGAGGCCCGGTTCTGCATCAGTTGTAGCTGCTGTACTGTCTGCTCTGGTCACAGCACCAAATATGTCAGAGTTCAGTTAAGTGTTTGAACAACACTCTCAGACACATTCTAGGATTCTTGGGTTGTCCTGCACAGGGCCAGGAGTTGGACATGGTGATCCTGATGGGCCTCTTCTGACTCAGCATATTCTACGACTCTATGATTCTATGATTCTGTGATTCTATGATTCTGTGATCCTGTGATTTTAAACCTGCTGTCCCCATCCCCAGCCCATGCATGGCTATGAACCTGGCACAGCTGCAGCCCAGGCTGGGGTGAAAGCTCCATGATGTGGTACTCAGGAGTGGGTGCAAGCACCTCCATCCCCAAGTGAAGATGGTGCCCTTTGCATCCCACACTGTTAGCAGAATGCTTGTGCTGCTCTGGTCACTGTGAGATGGGATGCTCCCAAAACCTTGGCTTGCTCTGAAGGAGCAGTGACGACTCAGCATGACCAGAGGGGAGCCTGGAGCTCTTCTGGTCAGGAGCCAGGGTCTCCCGTGCTTGCTGCTTACGTGCTCACCACACTGCAGAGGGCAACGCTGCTGGGGACCTTTGGATCTCCCTTTGCTGTGGAGCCTTGCACCCACAGGGGCTTCCAACTGGAGAAATTTCTGGAGGGCATGAATCAGCTTTTCACAGCTTGTTAAAAATCTTGATCCTACCTCTTGTTTTCATGCCTTTCAAATCAGGAAATGAGTTTTACAACTTTTCCAGTGGGGCACAGCTGGTGGCCAGCGTCGTAAAGCTGAACTTTATAAATATCTCTCATTGGGATCAGGGGAAGAGAGCATTAAAAAGGCAGAGAGGGAGAAAGAGAAAGAGAAGGCAAAGGAGCAAAGGCAATAGAGAAGCAAAGCGAACAAGTCCAGCTCAACCATCTATGGCCATGCAAGCACAGAAGATGAGATGTGCTTGGGGCAGGCTTTGCCTGCTGCTTTCCCTCCTCCTCCAGCTGCCAGGCTCCCAGGCCAAATGCTACTTCCAGGCTAAAGGTAAGTGGGTAGGTGAGATGGGAAGCGGCTGATGGGAAGAGGAGGCCTCAGCTTTCCCAGCATGGCAGGGCTCTTCCCTATGCCTGAGAAGTATGGAAGGGACTGTGCTGAGCTCAGGAATGGGATCATGGGCCAGTGGTGAGTGGAAGGAGCAGTCTATAAACCACAGAACAGTTCCCCAGGGCTTTGGCTGAGAAACAGCTTTGTGGGCCATGAAGGCTCCTGGCAGGTGCCTGGCTGGGGCTGAATGTGTGGGACTAGCAGCAAAGGGACGAGGGCAGCTCATCATCCCTCTGTTGTCTCCTCCCAGGGCTCCAGAAATGCCCAGACCCTGAGGGGTGTTGGATTTGTCCTCTCCAGGGAAGCAAGAGCCACTTGCTTCTTGCTCTAGACCATGGGGTAGTGGTGAGAGCCACAAGGCAGGGCCGGGAGAGGATGGATGGGTATATCACCCATGAGAGATGACAGGGCATTCCATACCTGCAGGATGGTGGATAGACCACCATATATCTTCCATAGCACAAGGTGGGTGAGAGGTTCATGGTACTTCTGTCCCTGTCCAGGGCACAGGGGTGTCCAGGAGACTTCCACTCGCCCTCAGCACAGGCCCATGTGTTCTCATGACCACTGTTTCCTTTGCAGCTCCCTGTGAGTACGAAGGGAAACAGTTCTCCATTGGGGAATCGTGGCTGAGCACCAACTGCCTGCTCTGCACCTGCCTGCACCCCATTGGCGTGGGCTGCTGTGAGACGTGAGTGAGGGGCTGGGCTGGGCGGGCTGTCACCTCCCACCACAGCACCCTGCCCCTGCAGCAGCAGGTGTCTGGTGGCTGCTAATGCAGCTGATGGCTGCAAATGCAGCTGGTATCAGAGCCTTGGGAGGGCTGCGAGCCCGAGGTCCCGGTGAACAAGAGGCAGAGGTGGGCAGGACCCCACCAGGGCATTGAGGGAGGTGGGGTGAGTTGGGGCAGTTGGAAAGGATGTTTTGGCACAGCAAGATGCCCAGATGGGCCAGGAGCCGTGTCCCAGCCTGCCTGAGCTGGTCTGGAAGACACCCTGTGCAGGGGGCTGGCAACAGGAAGCCACCCAGCACAGTCAGCAGCCCCCTGGCACTAATCAGGGGTCCTGACGGCACCGTGTCCTCTCCCACAGCACCCAGCACCCGATCGACTTCCCTGACTGGTGCGAGGCCCACTACGACTCACAGACCTGCCAGATCTCGGTAGTGCAGAAAGCCAACCCCAGCCTGCCGTGCGTGAAGAGCGTGGAGCACGAGTGGGGCTCGGCCAGCACCCCCGAGCCGCTGGTGAACAAGGTGCTGGGTGCGGGGCTCAGCAGATAGAGAGAGTCTCGGCAGCGCCCCGCATTCCTCAGCGCCGCCCTCCCCTCCAGAGCACACCGCCCGCATGCTCGACCTGCCCCACCCACCCTGTAGAGGCATCACCGCCCGCACCTCCGAAGGAAACCACTATCCACACACCATGGTACCAAGCCTTGCTTCTGCCTTCAGCTTCCTGAACCAGGGCGTCCTCCCTGTGAGGTGTTCTGCACACCGTGGAAATGCAGATTCTACAGGATCTCCTCCAGGTGGGCAGAAAACCTTCAGTGACTAAAATAAGGCTACAGGACTAAATCAGCCCGCTCCATGGCAGTCCTGCATTCCCATACCCAGCCCCAAGCAAAGCAGCTCCCTACTCCCTCCCAGACCTGCACTCCTCTGCACAGCAGCTGTGGGCAGCTCCCTGGGGTCACCACGGCACTTCGTGCAGGATCCTCACACCCTGTCCAGCCCCTTCTCTGCTCCTGGAGTGCAAGGGGCACAACCCACCTCTGGAACCACTAATGCCCCTGCTCCAAAAGCTCCTGGGGTCCCTGGCACTGTAGGCCAGCCCTGGGCAACACTGCAACAGAGCCAGCCCAGGGTGGGTGGCAGAACAGGATGTCCCCAGGGGAGAGCCCCATCCCCACTGGCAGGGGAGCAGGGTGGGGAGGGTTCAGGAGAAGCAGAAGCAATCCAAGTGCCAGGGTGGAGGCAGCCACCCTGGCAGCTGCCCCAGCTGGTGCCATGCCTGTGTTGTGCAGAGCCTTGTGTAGATGTTTCTGTTCTTGCAATAAAGGTACTGAACAAAGAGGTCTCCAGCCTGTGATTGCTGTAGAAGGTGGGATGTTCAGCACCGGGAACAATGTAGGAATAAGGCTCTTGGGAAAGCTGAGTTTTGCACATTCAGATATTTATTACATTTCCATGCAAAGAGGAAAGTTCATTGGAAAGTTCAGTAAAAATGGGGAGCTGGCTGTTGAGCAGGGAGATCTCTGAGCCAGCTCTTGGATGCACAGCATGCATTCCTTACAGCACCCCAAGGATCCAAAGACCAGCAGGATGCTGGAGTGCACACCAGGAGCCCAGGCAGACAACAGCCCAGGGGCTCAGTGCTGCCCAGTTTTGAATAATCACAATTGTACTGACCAGCACAGGCATGCATCCTGCTCACCAGCACACGCCAGGAGCACAGGGCTGGCCTGCCACCACCTGCCTCCTCCAGGTGGGGGTGGCTGGAGCACTGGATTCCATGTGTAGGACAACTCTCCAAGAGGCAGGACACATGCCAGGGCAGAAGAGAAGGGTCTCACCCAGCCCAGGTGGCCACTGTGCTTCACCTGGATGCCAGACCTCTGCTTGTAGGGTCTCTGTAAGGGCACAGCCTTCACCCAAGTGTGGTATGAAGCTTCACTGGAAGAGCTCCCCTCTCCCCTCCCTGGGATGGGCCTTTCCTTCTTGGAAGCCCCATACGAGACCAAGGCACATCAGCGGTTCCCTGGGAAGACAAATTTCTTTTTGCTGAGTGCTGGGACTTGCACCTTCACCCAGGCAGGAAGGGTCCAGCTCCAGCTGGGGGCTGCAGCACAAGACACTGCATCAAGCAGCATTTTTCCAACCATGGACAGGACAGACATGTCTGGTGCCCACCTGGACATCACAGATGGATCCAAGGGAACACTGGGATGCGTGCAGCACAGCACACTGGTGACAGCCCTGCCTGCCATTCCCACTGGTGGCATGCGCTTGCAGCTCTGCAAGCCAACAACCTCTCCTAAGTCAGATGGTGATGGAGTTAGTGCTGGAGAACTGAGATACATAGGAAGCCAGGATGGGGTTGGTGGGAAGAACTTTGATGGGCAAGTCCCAGCTGAAGGTGTCCACTTCCATCTGCTCCACCCCAGTCCAGGTGACAGCCTCCGATTGGCTCCCACGAACCAAGCAAGTCCCCGCTGACTCCCCAGAAGTCACAAACTCAAAGTGTAGCCTCCACTTCAGGGACACTGTGGGCAAGAGGGCAGTCAGCACATAACACCCACAAGTGCCAGGGACAGCAACTGTCTCAGCACAGTCTGCCCTGGCAAAGGGGACAGCAAATGACCCCACTCACACAGGCCAGCTCCCTCCCAAGGGACACAGCTCTGCTGAGCAAGGCCAGGGCTGGGGACATAGCAGTCCTCCTGTAGAGACAAGCAGGGGTGTGTCCCTTCCCTGGTGGGTACTAACCGATGTTGGTGGTGAATCCTGGGGTTGAGCTGAGGGGGATGGGCAGGCTGAAGCTGCTCTGCGCTGTGTGCAGGCAGGACTCCTGATGGCGGGCGTGCATGGTGAAGGAGACAGGCTGCCCCCGCCGGCGCTGGAACTCCTCCTGGATGCTCTCCTCTGTCTGCAGGCTCACTGAGAACTGCAGGGCAATTGGCAGGGTGCTTGCTCTCACAACCTCATACACACCTCATGCAAAGCCTTGGGGGGTTCCATTTTCCAAATGAGCTTGGGGTTGGACCACTGTCCTCCTCAGACTACAAGGAGACGCCAGCTGGGTCCCACCAGAAACCCTCACAGCCCAGTGCCACCCCAAACCCTTCTCCACATCCCTCACCCTTAAACCCCTGCCTCTCCCCAGTAATCCCGGACACAGCAATGACCTGCAGACATGGAATATCTCCTTCTGAGAAGTTGAAGGTCCCAATGACATCCTCTCCAATCTTATACACAGTCTTAAAGATGCAGAACGTCCCCACCTTCCCACGAGTGTTGCTGATGTTATACAGGTCTGTGGAGGAAGAAGAGGGAAAAGGGTTGTGGCAGCACAAGGCTCTGCTCTGTGCAGTGCCCTGGGTTAATGACATGACCTCATGCCTTCTGTTCAGTCCCTAGAGTGGTATACCCTTTGGGAAATTTCTGCAGTGAGCACGGGCAAACCCCACACTGGCTGCCATGTGCCATGGGCAGAGGGTCTCTCGGTCTGAAGTAGGAACAGCCTGAGACTGGCTAGGAGGCTCTCACCCAAGCAGGCCCTGATAGAGCCGCTACACAGCTATAGTTGGAACTTTGTCAGTGAGAAATATTTTGCAGCTGGCCCTGAGATGTTCTCCTTGACCAGCCTCTTAGGAAGGACAGCAGGTTTGAGCAGGGAGTATGACCTACGCAGGCTGCGTCGGGAGGTGGCCACCATGAGCAGCTCTGTCGCTAGGTCTGCCAGGCGAGAGTCTTTCTTCAAGCCCTCCTCCTCCTCCAGGAAGGGGTTTGAGGGTGCAACAGCCTCATCCTGTGGGAACTGGTAATCCTTGAGCCCTGGGAAGGAGGTGAGAGCATCAGCAGGGCAGGGTGCAGCCCGGGCTGCCTGTGCAGGGAGGGCAGTGCGCGGCCTTACCGTGCAGCACAAGGACGCGGAAGGGCACGCGCAGGAGCTTGATGGGGGAGTTGACGCGCTGGCAGCCGATGGTCAGCTTGTACACGTACTTCACCGACTGCCCCCGGAACGAGGGCGGGCCATCCACAGGCAGGGTCTCACAGTATGAATCTGCAATGAGGGCAGAAAATTTGCTTTCCAAAGCCAGAAGGAAGATCCTGCAGCTGTTGTGTGCAGGCTCCCTGCACCAAGTGTTATGACCAGCAGTGCTGAGCTAGAGACAGAGCCTGGTGCTTTCTGCTGTCTCCTCTTTCCTCCAGCAGCCAAGCACAACCCAGCTCCCCTGCACCAGGCACACTGCTCCCCACATCACATGCACCATTATCCAGATACTGCTTCCAGCACATACAACCACACACACAAACTTTGTCTCCAAAGAATGTGAAAGACGTAAAATCCAGGAATACAACCACGAGAGCTAAACTTACTCATCATGAGTTCAACCCAAATTTGCCTCTGTGCACTCCAGCTCTCTCACAGCATAGCCTCCTCCAGGTCCTGTCCCATGCAGGTATAGATCAGCACTTCATGCCTCTTTTGCTTTTGCTTTACACAAACCCTCAAACTATGCAACAAATAAGTTTCCTCCTGTGTTTTTCTTTGAAGGACTGCAGCTAAATGATCAACAAACAATTCCTGAAACCTTCACATCAACCTGTGGTTTGTCCCCCTTGACAAGCTGATGACTTAGATCACAAAGTCTCTGACTTTGAGGGCTCTGGGTACTTTCACCACATTCAGCCCTCCTAGAGCTCCTTGGCCACCACACAAACCCCAATGCCTCTTGACACAGTGTGAACACTTCTGAAGCTTTCCCAAACCACATGCTGTAAAACAAGAAAGACACAAACAGTGAACTGTGGAAAGTCTCCACCCCTCTGGCTTGCCCACCGTAATGCAGATACGCCCTGCCAGAGGAAGGGCAGCATCCTGCTCTGAAACCACAGATCCTTCCCATGTCTGGCACACACTGAATGTTGAGGCTTAGATTAAAAGTTAGGGTTACATTTTAAATATAACTTCTGGATTTCAAATAACAGGACTGGAAGGAAGAAAAAAGACTGTGCTAGTGTGTAGTGGCGACAGGATGTCACACCTTAAAACACAAGTCTCTCTTTCTGGACAAGGGTGTAGATAAAACAGAGAACTACCCTGACAGGGAGGAAAATCAGACATTTCCAAGGAAAGAAGCAGACTTCTGTAACCCCCATACCTCAACAAGAGGGCTCACAAAGACCTTCCTGCACAGTGAGGATAATCTGAGCAGAGACCACCACAGTCAGAGAAGGATGGACAGTTTGCTACCTGGCTCAGGAATGTCAAGACTCAGGAAGTCCCAGCTTCCGTGCATATCCCAGAAGGAAGCACATTCCTGCACTACAAATGCCTTCCTTACCCACCTGCTGTGCCCTCTGGCTGGCCTTCTGGCCTGTGTCCAGGCTGCTTCCATTTCCTCCCCTCTCTGTGATCTACCAAATTTTTAAAGGTATTACAAAACCAGAGTGGAGGCAAAACAGCCACAGAAATTATTTGAGGACTTGAGAAAAAGCTTCATGGTGACAAACTTAAAGAGTTCAGCCTGGGCCACGTGTCAAAGGGCTGGGATATGAGT